GAAGTCAAAACAATTACTTACTTGAGGGTAAGAATGAAATCTCAAGGGGAGAGGAAGAATGAGCCCCATATCACAACATCAACTTCACATTACAAGGAGGAAAGAATAAGCTCCACAAAACCAATTCATAGCACCACCATGGACCCACCACAGGCCCATCACACTCCACTAACCACCATGAAGACCACCACCACTACCACTTAAGAGGATGCGACTAGGCATGGCAATGGGGTGGGGCGGGGACGGGTTTTGCCTCCCCAATCTCCGCCCCGATTTTTTTAACCACCTTCGTCCCTGCTCCCGATCCCCGTCAGGGTTATAAATTAAGTCTCTATCCCTGTCCCCGCTGGGTTTTGGATTCCCGCCCCTGCCCAGTCCCCGATCTATATTATTTTTAAAACGATAATTACATTTATAATAAAATAATTTTACTATCTATTTTTTATATATAAATAAATTTTTATAATTTTATAATTTATAATTATTATTAATTAAATATACATTTAATTTATTATATTTATATTAAAATATGTATATAAAAGAAATATTTAATCATTTTTTATTTATAACATTATTATTATTATAACATCTGTATTCAAATATTTGAATACTTATAATATTATTATTATTATTATAATACTATATTCAAACATTTGATTATATATATAAGTTAATTCATTTTTAAGTTGTTATTTAAAAATATGAAATATATAGTTTATAAGGAAATATTTAATAAGTTAATTTGTATTCAATTAGTTCGAATTAATAAAAGTTTAATTATCAATTTCTTTAATCCTTTAAAATACAATTATTTTATTAAAATAAAATTTGATATATGATAAATAAGAATAATAAGATAAAAAAATATAACATAATAAAACCTAATAAATATAAATTATAAATAAAATAATATTAGTTACTACTAAGATTTGTGTAAAATATTTAGAAAAAGATAAAGAATAAAAAAAATTAACTTTGTGTTCATTAAATTGATTGAAAAGATTAAAAAAAAACATTGATAGGAGAGATTATGAAAAAGCTGAAAGGTAAGAGAGAGAATAATGTAATAAATTAATTGATATAAAAGATTAAAAAGACAAAAAAAAGTGGGTAGAAGAAAAATAAAAATTAGTGAAATATAAAAAAATGACCTTATATGTAATAGAAAAAGGAAAGGAAATACTTTTAAAATATTAATATTTTAAAATTTAAATTTAAATATAAAGTCGGGGCGGGGACGGGGTCGAGGTCGGAGTGGGGATTGCATTACTCATCCCCGACTTTTTAAAGCGGGGAAACCCGAACCCGCCCTCGCTTCCGATCAACTCAGGTTTTCTCTATCAAACTCAGGGTGAAGACGGGTCGATCCCTACAGATACGAGTTTAATTGTTATCCCTAAGTGTGACACTATCACCATGGGAAAGGGGATTCCACTGTGGGAGAGAGGGAGGACAAGGTACGAAGGAGCGAGAGAGGGGGAAGAGTGGCTCAAGGGAGAAGAGTGGTTGAGCAACGTACAAAGTGACCAAAAAGAAAGAGGAAATGCACAATGAAAATGAGGGAGGAAGACAAAAGTGAATAATGTATAAAGAATATGATGACGATTTTAGCTAATAATTGTCATCGTATAGTTGATTATAATTTCAAAAATATCACCACGTCGCATTTAATGACGACTTAAAAATAATTGTTGTCAAAAGTCATTGTCTTTATTATATTTTACAGTAGTGACATAAACTTTAATGTGTTAGACAAAAGTTTGAATTAGAATAACATAAAAAAATAGATTGACATTTACTTGATTGCAACCTTATATACGATGTCAAACAACATAATTAAACATGTTTTACCAAATCTTGAATAACAAAAGACTTTGAGTGAAAAATACATAAGTTTCTCTCCATAAAAAAACACCATGTTAGTGTGCACCACACTATACTCCAATGCTTTTTTTTTAATGTTGTCTATCCACCCTTATGCAACAAGAAAGATCCTTGAATTTTATCTAGTAGAAATATACTTAGATTAACCCAATCACACCATATCTTCTACATTTCTTTGAGCCTTGATACATGTAAATAATACATTATCTAAATATTTATTCATCATGTCACAACACGAACACACTAAGTCAATTTCCTCATTTAACATAAATATGAGATTATCTTAATTAGGAAACATATCCTTGAACACCCTCCATGTATTAAAAATAACTATAGTGGATGAAATTTTTAGTTTCCAAACTTCTTTTACCAAATTGATTGATTCTCGCCCATCTCGAGGTTATATATAAAATTATAAATAACATTGTAACTTGTGAAATATGTAATTTTTATTATTATAATAATTTTAAAAATATTAATAAATAAATTATTATATAATTATAATAAATTTTTAAAACTATATAATAAATTAATTATTATATAATAAATATTATTTTATTAAATTTAGTTTAATTTAATTTTTAAACTCTAAATCCAAATTATTATGGATTCAATAAATGGTACAATTTTAAAAATATTATTTAAAATAATGTGCTATGTCAATTAGATTGTTACAATAAACAAGTTTTGACCTCCTATTTAAAATGAATTTAGATGTTATGATGTAGATTTTCTGATGGGGGAAAATTAATAAATAAATAGAGGAGAGATCCGAGATTTAAGTTATACTTCTAACAATTGATTTAGTTAAACTATGCATGTGCTGCTGAATGCTTGACATCGCAGTGACAGCAGATAGTACATGATACTCTGACAAGGCAGCCAAATATACATATCAAATACGAAAAATTATATATATATATATATATATATATATATATATATATATATATATATATATATATAACAAAATTCAGTTTAGATAATATTTCAAATATAATGAAGGGTAAAGAAAAGAAAATTAAAACACTTATCCAAAAATAGATACTAAATATGAATATAAAATACAATTTAAAATTTATTGATTAATGATTTTGAAATTAAATAATATATAATAAATAAATAATAAAAAATATAAAATATGAAATAATATTTAATATATTTTAATAATTTATTTTAATATTTAAAATAATAAATTAAAGGAGATCAAAGTTATAAATATAAAAATAGGTATATTTAATTAAAGTAAAAATTGTAAATACATTAAAATAAGTTTCAATAGGATCGCTTACACTCCAATAAATTCCGTTATGTGAAATTAATATAATAAATAATAAAAGAAAAATTATTTATATAAAATATCTATAAATTTATTTACTTAACTAAATTATTTTTAGTTATAATTCAATAATAGAAAATAAAATTATTTGACATAATTCAATTTTTTTTATTTTCTTATTTGTCTTCTTATTTTCTTTTTCTACCGTCAACTCTCTTATTTAATCTTATCTTCCTAATTAATAATTTAGATTAAAATTTGATAAAATATGTCTTTTAGTATTTTTAGAAAATAAAAATATTTAAATTATTCAGAAATATTATAATTTAAGAATAATAATTGAAGAAAATATAATATTATTATTACTATGTTATAATTATTAAGAAAAAAATCAATATTTGTTTTAAAGTAATTTTTAATAAAAAAATTTAAAATTATTTAATATGACTAATAATCATAACTTAATCTAATTATAACTAGATTAAATTATTAAATAAAAATTTAAATAATTTTTAAATAATTTAATGTAACTAATAACCACAATTCAATCTAATTACAATTAGAAATTAAATTATTAAATAAAATAATTCAACTTATAAAATTTAAATATTATTTAATTATACAAATAATTGATTTATTACGATGAAATAATTTAAAATCATTTATTTATTATCATCATGTTTTAAATAATTAATTAATATTTTTTTAGTTTAAATGTTTATTTAAAAAAATACTTTAACATGTTTATTAATGTAATATAGTTAATTAGAAAAGTAAGTAAAAGAAGAGAGAGAAAAACAAAGATGAATAATAAAAAAGACAAAAAAAATAAAGAAAAATAACTGAATATATATTAATAGTAAATAGGTTTAATTAAATAAATAAATTAATATAAATTTTATTTAAATATATTTTTTTAAAATATATTATTATAGAATTGATTTTTTTAACGGCCACCACTCTCAATTCTTACCAAAAACGTTTTGGAACACAAAAAAAATTAAAATTTTGACAAGCATCACAATCCATAAAGAGAAATATAGATACATTAAAAAAAAGTAACAATTAGAAATTTATATTTTATTTTTATCATTTATTCTTTTAACTAATATTCAAAATAATAAACTTATTTTAATAATTAAATTAAAAAACAAATACTAAAAAATGAATAATAAATTTATATTTTTTAGTTAAGTATATTCTTTACTTATGCAATCGATGACAATTTTTAAAAATTTACCATAAAACACATTATATCTTAAAATATGCATGTCTTTTTGAAGAATTAAGTTACAAGGTCGTTCGTATCTCATTTTAGAGAAAACTTACTTCAATAAGTTTCATAAACTTATACACCACAAGTTGTATTTTTCTTTTTTAAATTCATTAAATGATAAAGTTCACTTTGAATTTTGAGTGTTATCAAGTGTTATTTAAAAAAAAAAAAATAATTGCAAATACATTACATAAATTATTATATTAAAGCACAATATTTATTTTATTAAGTAATTAAAATTATTTAACAAAGCATTAAAATACTCCATATATTTTTTAAAGAACAATGCAGAACTCTAAATTTTATTGGAGAACGGCAGATTATATGTATTTTTTTTAAAGAAAACTCACTTTATAAGAAGTTTTCTATCACTCTTAGCAAACACATGTCCTTAACTATTGTTTATAAAGAAAAGGAACTCAATTAATACCCTAAGTGATAAACAAACAAAGTAAAATTTAGAATAAGGTTCTTCTCAGCTTATTAAAAAAAAAAACAAATCTAAATCTTACACTTTGAGCAAACAATAATATACTAACTTATAGGATAAGATGGATCTTTCTATAGTGACCAAGTAACAACTTGCCATGCCATTCCACAAGAGACCGACAATTGAGGGTTTCTCGAATGTAGATCACACAACTTGTCATCAAATGATTTTAGGAATGGCATTGCAAAACCCATCATAACAAACGGCTCAATAATTGTATATAAATTATATTAAATTTTTATGAAAGCTAAATAATAAATAAATAAATTGCATAATGTCAATTCTTGTGAATTTCAACAACCTGGACCCAACGGCATCATTCCTTCTTCCTTCCTCAACGCAGTTCCTTCCGCGTAGAATCAACCGGCTATTCCGGTCACCACCTCCACTCCTCGTGCCTCTTACTTTTATCATCGTCAACATACTCATCCTTCCAAAACCCACCGAGTAATCCTAATGGGCTCCATCTCGTTCTTTTTCATCACTGTTCCATACTCGAACTAACCCATTGAAGCCATGAATTCCCGTTTTGCCCCTCTCTTCTTCTCAATACCTTCCCTCAGAACTGCACCTTCTCTCGTCGGTGCTAACCATACCTCCGCTCGCTTCTGCTCCCGATAAATAGAACAAATATTCATACGCTATTTTTCTCTCGTACAGTTTAATTCAATTTTTTTTTTCTCTCATAATTATCATTTTCTTTACGAAAACCGCACAACCCGTTTCCATGGAGCCTTCCGCAGGGAAGCTTAGCTTTCTCAGAAACGTTGTCGTACGGTTACTCCTCTTCGGTCTTTTCATCGTAATCGTACGGTTCGCTTACGTCATTACCCTGGCCGGCGAGTCCTGCACTATCGGCGACTTTTGTTTCTTTTCCCCGTCGCTGAATCTCGCCGTCCCTGGAACCAGATCCGCTGCTCTTGCCGTCCGCGCCGCCGCTTCCAGCGGCAGCGCGGCGGTACCGGAACGCTACGCAAGCAAGGACTGGATAAATGGCGTTCGGTTCTACTCGTCGTATTTCCAGGACCTCATCGCCGGCGGTTTCCTCTCTCCGGCGGCGAAGTCGCTCTGTGTGGAGACGCCCACCGGCCGCGATGTCCTCGGGCTCCGCGAAATCGGCGTGACGGACGCCGTCGGGATTTCGAGAAAGGCGTCGCGGCCGCTGGTGATGTCCGGCGAGGGTACACGTATTCCGTTCGCGAACGGGACGTTCGACTTCGTGTTCGCTGGCGAAGGTGCGCTCGAGAGATCGCCGTTGCCGGCGGAGTTCGCGGCGGAAATTGCTCGGACGCTCAAACCCGAAGGGTTTGCCGCGTTCCATGTAAAGGCCAATGACACTTACAGTTTTAATTCATTCGTTGATTTGTTCAATTTTTGTTGCAATGTGGTGAAAATAAACGACGTAATAGGATTTGATTCATCGATGTCTCATGTAAGAGAAATAGTTGTGAAGAAAGAGCGTTATGGGATTTATTCCCATTCCAATTCCATCTCCAATGGAAAATGCTCTGTTCCAGAGTACAAGAGAAAGTTGGTTCGAAACGCTGAGGCGTTAATTGAAGAGGAGCCACTGAAGCCATGGATCACTCTGAAGAAAAACGTGAAGAACATAAGGTATCTTTCTTCAATGGTTGATATAAGCTTTAAGGATAGGTACGTGTATGTTGATGTTGGGGCTAGAAGCTATGGTTCTAGTATTGCAAGCTGGTTCAGGAAACAGTACCCGAAACAGAACAAGACCTTTCATGTCTATGCAATTGAGGCCGACAAAACGTTTCATCAGGAGTATGGTTTGAAAAAAGGGGTTACTCTATTGCCTTATGCTGCATGGGTGAGGAATGAGAGTTTGGTGTTTGAGATTAACCATGGCCCAGGGGAGAAGGTTCAGGGTAAGGGCAGGGGCATGGGGAGGATTCAACCAATGCAGTCTTCGGGTGGTTTTGATGGTGTTGAGGTTGAGAAGATTCCCGGGTTTGATTTTGCTGACTGGTTGAAGAACACGGTTTCGAAAAACGATTTTGTTGTGATGAAGATGGATGTGGAGGGTACAGAGTTTGATTTGATTCCCAGATTGTTTGAAACTGGGGCTATATGTTTGGTGGATGAGATTTTTCTTGAGTGCCATTACAATAGATGGCAGAGGTGTTGCCCTGGACAGAGGAGTCCCAAGTATGAGAAAACTTATGATCAGTGCTTGCAGCTCTTCACTTCTCTTAGACAGAGTGGAGTTCTTGTTCATCAATGGTTTTAACTTGTAAAATTTACTGACGGGTCAAACCCTATATACACGTTCTGTACCATTCTTATTTTACACTGTTACCTTCTGCATTTTCTTCTTCATAGTTTTTTATTTTTTCTTTTCCTTTTTTCCTAGCCAATAGACTAGAGACCAAGTCCTTTATTTTTTAGATTTCATTACTTGTAACAGTTAAAAGTGAAAAAAATGAAAATCATCCCTTTACAACAATTGTATTTTCTATACATGTCTCTTCTTTTATCTGTGTGTCTGTGTAGCAAATAATATTTAAAGTTTAATCATTATTTTATCTCTTAAAAGAATTTGACGTTTCCTTTTGGCAGATTATTATTGAATAATTAGTGGACTGTCCAAAGGTTCTTTCAATGAAATGGGATTGAGTTTTCCGTGTTTCTGACAGGAAAACTGGACCATAGAGATCTCAGACCAGAAATCATTGCCCCAGGTGACTTTCCTGAAATTGTTTTCAGGGCCCATATACATATATTGCTCACCAAAACGCCATTTACGGAGAACTCAATTAAAATAACAACCTCTGAGACTGAACTAGGTTCTTACTCTATTATTATTAACAATGTTAAATTTGATTTACTTTTGTTCGTTGTTTGCCAACAGAGGCTGTTTTCTCTGTATTCTGGAGTGCTAAGTTGCAGTTAATTCCTCGGCCAGAATAGCTGTTTGTACATGATAGTTTTCAGAGGTAAATGTTCTAATGATGCTACATGGTTTCTGTATATCACTTATAAGCTGTTTATCTGAAACTATGATTGTAAAATGATTTGTAAAGGGAAAGCAGGTTATCATTAAAAGCGCAGCCACATGTATGCACAATGGTAAAATCTCTTTCAGCAATGTGGTTGTTAAAATGTTGTTTTCTTTAAGATTTACTCTCTGCATTTATGAAACGAGTAATGAACATGTACATGCAAGGCCACATGCAAACCAGTTTGAATATTGATACGCGATTCATAAACGAATAATGAGCTTGAACATTAGATGAAATGTCACATGCAAAATAGTTGATACTGATACTTGACCTTGGAACTGTATTTGTCTGGACATGATGATTTTGTATGAAGTGATGCTTCTATTGGTATTAAGAGAGTCCGGCAAAACAGTACTTTCAGGATCAAAGCTCACTCAATTGACACTAGCAACCAATTGTGTTATTGCAGGATTCAATCTATTAAAAGATTCAATGCCCCACTTCAATAACAGAGGCAGAATATTCAATGCCACTTTTTGTGGATCACTTTTCCTGGTGCAGATGGCATGACAGCTTCTGAAGTGTTTTTAACTGTTTCATGTGGGGTTCTATTAAAAGGCACCTGGTTGTTGAAAAAAAAAAAAAAAAAAAACTAACTTCATACTCGAGAAAAGGATCGTATGTGGGACATTTTGGTAATTATCACTGAAAACGAAATAGCGTGGAATATTCTTGAATGTTTGCACCTTGTTGATTGCAATCAATATTCCACATGGATATCAACGCTTGCTTTGTAGCGAATACGAAGGAAAAGTAAAAGAACGGAATAATTAGCAAGAAACTATATTCCGATCATCATATAGTGGGAAGGGGATTACCCAAGGCAAGCCTTCATAAAGCTTTGGTTTTACTTTATTAAAAATGGGAGAAATCCTTAATTCAAGTTTAAAAAATTGATTTGAAAATGGTAAGATTTTATTCGTTTATATTCAGAAGTTGATAGATGGAGATTGGCACGGATAAAAAATTAATTAATTTATTTTTTATTAAAAAATACATTACGATCTTTAAAAAAATTATATGTATTGAAATTTTAAGATTAATTTTTTGTATTCATGCCTGAGTATAACGTTATCATAATTTTAATTGATGTGAGGTAAGATTTTATTATATGTTTTGATTTAGGAGAATTATCACATCACTTCACCTCAAGAAGTATTTTTTCTCACATTAGAAATGATTTTTCGTTGTACTTTCTCATATTTATGAGAATTTTTCATTATATATATTGTTTCAAGAGGAAATTTTCTTTGTATCCTGTCACTTCAAGGTAATTTTCCTATTCCAATAACTCTAATATTATATTAAAAATTAACAAATATCTAACTCAATCTTAATTTTCCTATTCCACTAACTCTAATATTATATTAAAAAGTAAAAAATATTTAACTCAATCTTACATACTAGTTTAAAAAAATAAAATTTATATTTATTGTATTATTTCTCCAAGTTTCTCTAGTCCAATTTATCATACCTCTCGTTAGGAGTTACCGAGGATAATTTTTCCTCATCTTTATAAATAACTTATCACAGCCAATTAATTAGTATTATTGAACGATAATATGAATAATGGATAATATGGAATCTAATGTAGGTATGGATGGAATTCTTTAAGACGTGTCAGCAAAAGATATAAATTATTACGTGGGGCAGGTTCAGGTGATTAAGTTAAGCTTGTCTTGTAGTAAGGTTGCTTAACAGGTTGGGTCCAATTTGTCTGTAGGGTTATGACTAATGAAAGGAGAACGATGGTTCATCTGCATAATCTGGGACACTTATTCTGTTGTCCACTTTATTTATTTCCTTGTTATTTTTGCTTTCTATGTGTCTGCATGGAAGTGAAAAACAAGCACCAATTATATAGGTTTCATAACAATATCCACGGACAAATTTTTTTAATTTGGTTTTGATTTCAATTCGCGTTAGTATTGGAGCATTGGTTTCAGTTGGACGTGTGTATAATAAAGTGAACCCATAAGTATTTTAATATATAATAATTAAAAAAATTATACTTTCTAACAATATAATTCAACTTTTAAAATATAATTAATAAATAATAAGAATATAATCCTTTACAAATTATATTTAACATTAAGTTGAGTTATGACAAATTAAAATAGAACTTAGTCTTGCTTTTAAAATACATTAAGTCTAACGGTTTAGTTTCATACCCAAATCAAACATGCAGTTTGGTTTTATTTAGTTTTAATTTAAAAAAAATATTGAATTAAATCAGATTAATAATTTACTGTTTGGTCTGAACAGTTTTTTTATTATAAAATTATTAAATATATTGTTATAAAATATTATTAAATAAAAATATATTATAAAATATTATTATCTATAGTTAATTGTGATATTTATATTTTCATTTATTTTTATATATTTTCACATATAATTTAAATAATAATAATACGTATTCTAAATGATAAGAAATTAATTAATAACTTACTTATATATATATTATTTATATGTTATATTAAAATTAATAGTATATTATAATTTTAGTTTATTTTTTTTATTATCAAATTAAATAAAATGGATTAATTTTAAAAAATAATTTAAAATATCTAAAAAAAATAATTTTCATCAATTTTCTGATTTTTTTATTAATTTTAATTTTAGATCAATTCAATTTTTAACAACATGGAAAACAAATTCTCTTCTTCAGTTGAGTTAATGATAACAAAAGATGAGAACCTCGCTAATTTCTTCGGTCTTGAGAAGAAAGTTACATTTTCCTCCACATGTTTTCTCCGCAAATTTGTGAAGAAAATTGATGTTCGACATAGAAGACATGGAACGCTGTTGCATGTGTGATGTTTCATATATGTTTGAAGGTAAGGTATACGACGAGGAATGTGAATGTAAGCATTAGAATGATATTATTGTATTGCTTCATTCTCTTTATTTTGCTGAATTTAGCTCCTTAAAGGTAGAAATTACAGTTTAGAAGTTAAATAATCAATATAATACACTCTTTTGATTTATTTTTATTTTAACTACTCTTTAATATATATATATATATATATATATATATATATATATATATATATATTAAATTGAGTACCTACAAAATTTAATCTTTTGATTTAAGTCCTTTCTAATACATGCCTAAGGTATACTCTATATGTACCCACTTATTCCAAATATTTTAGGAATTATAGTATAAGAATAAAATACATAAATATATTTTGGAGACTAAATTAAAATTTTATAATTTACTAGGTATTTTTATTTTAAGTCTACAAAATATTTAATTTTGACGAGGTTTCAATCATTGTGCATCCCAATACCGTGTCAATTTTTTTTTCTAATTTCATTGTCATATTTGTTAATAGTTTAAAAAGAAGAAGAAAGATTTATAAAAACCTATAAAGTAAATTAATAACATTAAATCTTATATACCTTTTAAAAAAAACTTTGAATTTTAATTCTTTAACTATTAGACCTACAATTCTTAAGTATGACAATTCTATCTTAAATTAAATGGATAATGTTTTTATTGTTAGTGAGAAGGAGTATGTAATACTATAAATGGATAATGTTTTTATTGTTAGTGAGAAGGAGTATGTAATACTATAGAATGATATTTCAATAGAGAAGTGTATCCAGTGAGAGAAAAAGACACTAAAAAAATGTAAATTGTATATTTGATGTAAGAATGAGTTTTTACTAATGGTATTTATAGAATATTGGAGAGACAATATTCAATTGTAACTATTGTTAGTTAGACTAACTAACCTAATTATATTAATCATAATACATAATATCATAAATGTTAATTATCAGCTAACATAATTCTTTAATTCAACAATCGATTTAACATTTTAACTCTTTCTTAATTCTTTGAACCTTTAATTATTCAAAGGTTTTTTCATAATGTCCACCAACTACTCTTTTGTGTCATAGTGCTCAAATTTTGCTTCTTCTTCTTCCTTACATCATCTCTGATGAAATGAAATCTCAATCCAATATGTTTGTTTCTCCCATGATGAATTGAATTTTTCGCTAAAGTGATACCTGTGACACCTTTAATACCAACATTCACTTTATTATGATTTATTAATTATTATTGGTTCCTCTTAGTATTTGATTACTAATACACTCTTGTAGAAGTAAGGTACACAATAATTAGAACATATACTTAGTGATTAATATACATATCATTCATAAGTATCAAGTATAACTAGATAGTAAATATACACAAAGTCATCCCAAAATACACATAACAAGGGTTCACAAGACCAGAGCAAACAAACTAATTAGACAAACTAACTATACAACCTAACTAAAGAAGAAATATATTTTGTACGTCCACTAAAATGAAGTATCTTTTGTAGCACTGTAGTGGTGTCCGATCAAGTCCTCTACTTAGTACTTGCAGTGATCGTATTTAAACTTTACTTGGAGATGATACCGGGGATGAGTTGTGTTCAACGTCACCTATGCAAACATTTCATAATAACAATACATGCACAGAAAGGGTAAGACAACTTTATATTCACTTAAAGCATGCAAATAACATTGAGTTAATTATAAATTACACATACAAACATACTACTAATCAGCACACAATTGATATGATATTATGACTGCAATGTATCCACTAATCTTTTCTAGGACACATCCTAGTATGCAAGACCATGGGGATCCCAAAAACACTTTCTCTTTTCTCTTTTTGTTTTGTTTTTTTTTTTCGAGAAGGATCAGGAGTTTCACTGGAACCTCTCACCGCCTTGCGGTAGTATACTCATAATTACTTGTCCAGCTCAACTGATCATGAGAAACCCTGGGGCTTTAGTCAGGATAATCAAGCTTGGTAGTGAGAGTCTCATAGCTTAGGTAGCGAGCCTGAGCAACATATGAGTTCGATCACACTCAATCATCCTCGAGGTTAGCATGGAGCCGACCACGATTTTCCATATCCTCCTCATACACTCAATCTCGACTCATGAACATGATGCATGACTTATCATAACTTCTTCACACTCTTTCAAATTTGTTTCACCTCATTATACTTAAATCACATCTTAACTTCTTCAAAATAATACTAGGTTATTTCTTAAAAAAATCGACGAGTTTCCCCTGTAAATCGGACATTCCCAAAATTTTTTTAACACCTGCAAAATAACCAAAAACAGCCCGAACACTTCTACTTTTCACCAAACCATCCTTCCACCTCATCATATTCATCATTACTCAAAATCATAATTTTCTCAATTTTAATTTATTTTTCTTAAATAATAATAATAATTGCAAATAATTTCCTCAAAATTATTGAAAATTCATTTTAACTTACAATTACTTGTTTTCTCCTAAATCAAAATTATTCCAATACTTTTGAAAAATATTTATTAATTAAATAAAAATATAAAAATTCACTTCATAATTAAATTATAAAATTCAATTTAATATATCAAAAAATAGTTTTCTTTCTCACATAGTTCATTTCTCACACCTTTCCTCCATTCCACCAAATTATACAATGCAATTCTATATGCTAATCCATCTTAACAAAAACATTCCACAATAATTTTCTACTTATCATGCTTCATAACATACATACAATATATCTCAATAATCAATTTAAAGCAATTATCATAATACTAAACATAGAAATAAGCTAATTCTCAATCTAAATTCATCAATAAATCATATAAAATTACTAATGATTAAGCAATCGATTCAAACAACATTCATGGATGCCTTATAATCATACAAGGTTCCATACACTCAAGTTGCTCCATTTAGAAGCCATAAAATTCACATAATCTTAAAACTTTAAAAATTCATAAAAATAGAAATAGCATTCAAATAATTCCAAATAAATTTCTAATTAGCTTAGAAGTAAAGGGACTTCTTCTCAATGCTATTTCAAGCAAAAGTGAATTATAAAAGTTATCATACCCCTTACCTTATGTTGTAACTTGGTGAAGAGTAACTCTTGATCAAATAATTTATCAAGTCTTTGGGTCTCCTCTTTGCACCTCTAAGTAGCCTCCTACATGCCAATTAAATACCCCAATTAAATCCTTAATTCCAACCATATTAGACCTCTAAAATCTCACATCCTTCATAACCTAAAATTCTAAAATTCAAGACTATGGTTCTTTGAGTTATAAAATCATTTCTAGAGCCTAAATTGATGCTAATGGAATTAATACAAGTAGAAGAGAGTAATGGAAGTAATACACTTAGAGTAGGAAGAATCCTAATAACAAATATGGACAAGGTTCAGTATTTTAGAATTTTCTAGAGTTATATAAACTGTTTTGGCATGAGGTAAGAGCCAAAATTTCAATAACTTAATTACCTACAATATTGATGAAGAAAATAAATTCAAATACCCTATAGAATAAATGCAATTTTTCAGTTTACAGTGGTTGTTTCCAACATGGCTCAACTACAATAACACTCTAAACATGCCTTGGTAATTTGACTATAACTCATGCTACACATAAGCTATTGACATGAAACAAATTTATAAATTTCGGAAATATAACTTCCTAAAACCTTTATTAAGAAATCAAGTCCTAATTTCACACATATCAATCCCAGTAATTCAAAAACCGAGGCTGTTGAAACAGGGCAACCTCTTAACTTCACAGCTATAACACTTGACAGTAAAATGAACATAACTTGAGCTACAAATATCCGTTTGATGTGAAACAAGTTTCTAAATTTCTATAACTTAAAGGGATACAACTTTTATGAGGATACCAATTCCTAATTCTGTTCACAAACATCGAAAAATTCAATGAACAGTGACTTACGAATTAGGGTGCTTAAGGTTTTTAGCTTAATCACTTCTAATCCTCAATTCTAAGTATTATTCTAGTGTCCTAGGTGTAAAATCTACAATAACACTCTTTCTACTCCCATTCAAGCTTAGCCAAGTGAGGAAAAAATTTGAAAATGCACCGTTTTGAAAAATAAAACCGTAGAAATGTAGAGAAGATTGAGAGAAACAAACTTACCTCTTGGAGTTTCTCAAGAAAATCAATATTTCCCCCTCAAAATTAAGCTTCAAAGTGAGGAGGGTTTGAGAGAAAGCAAGAAATGAGAGAAAGTTGCAGGGAGAATGCCTTTTTAAAAGTCAAAATCTATTTTTTTTAAATATATTATTATTTTATTATTATTATTATTTTTTAATTCCGAGAAAATCACAGATAATCTAACAAACATAAAACTCTATAGTCACTTTCCCCAATTCCTAAGAATTTAATTATAAAAATTTTGAAAAAAAATTTGTCAAAATTTAACAAACTAGAGGTACTGAGAATTAGGATGTTACAATACCTAACTTATTGTCGATCTTCAGTGTCATAGTTTTCTCTAGTATTTCAAGGACTCAATTTACCAAACTCTCGATCCACAGTATTTCAATCTTCGAGTAAATCTCATACTCAACTTCACACTTCAAGAATCCTTATTGTCAAAAACAACCATCGATTTTTGTGTTTCAAGCTCTCGGTGCCTATCTTAAGTCATATAATGTTTTTTTCAATCTAGGAACCTTTCATTCTTCTCTAGTGATCAAAAATCTTAGTGGTTGTGTAACATAAACTTCTTCATTCAATTCACCATTCAAAAATACAGATTTTACACCCATTTGATACATATGCCACCCTTTATAGCTTGCTAGAGCTACAATTATTGTTATCGTCTCCATCCTAGAAATAGGAGCATACACTTCTTTGTAGTCTAATCCTTCTCTCTGTAGAAAACCTTCCACCATAAGTTTGGCTTTATATATTGCGACTTTTTTGTCTGACTTTAACTTTGTCTTGTACACCCATTTTACTACTATT